CTTACAGAAAATATTTAAGTCAAGAAGGCAGTAGTTCCCCTGGATCAACACCGTGTCTGTTGTAGAGGCAGATTCTGGTTGCGGATTCGTTTAATTTTAGATAACATTTAAATCAAAGCCTGCGTGTGTTTCAGAGAGTCACTTTTCTAGCAGCTGTTCAACACAAGAAGGATTCTGATAAATCAACCCGCAGATCTAAATTTCTATTGGCAAGGACACGACTGATCTCTGGCCCGCTGTAATCTTGATTTCCTCTGGTAATACCAGTCACTGTGAACTTGTGGCATTTTGCTGCCTTTGATGATTGGTCCAATGGTCTGCAGCCAATGGCCTCCTTGCCACCAATTCACGACCCGTCAACCCCAATCCTCCCACCAATCCACCAGGCACACAACACAACACACGGCTCAGAACAAATGTCCCAGCGTCAGAATCAATCCAGACGGGCATCCCATCCTCCTCTCATAAAACTGGCATCTCATTTATCCAGGAGTGAAGACTATGGTAAATAGAATGACACGGCATTTACGCGTTTACCAGCAGAACGGCCCTGAACGATTGCAATTGTTCTCCTTGAACCAGATTTTTTCTAAGATCCACCTGAATTCATGTTTGAAACATTAATTTCATTTGTTTTTATTGACAAAAGACCATTTCTTGCAAAGATATCCTATTTAAAAGTGTCGGTTCAGCCACATCTTCAACAAAAAACCTGGTTATCAACTCGAAAAGGCAACTATAAATGTGGAAATTGTGTTCACTGTGACAACATGACTAACACTAACTGTTTTGCTGATGTTTTCACAGGACGTACTTTTTTCATTAATACATTTATCAATTGCAATACGTCATTTGTGGTCTACAGACTAGAATGCCCGTGTGGTTGCTTCTATACTGGAAGAACTAAACGCAAGTTAAAAGCAAGACTTGCAGAGCACAAACAAGCAATCAGATCTGGTAATCCCCTACATCCTACGGCAGTGCATTATAAAGACACAAATCATGGAAGCTGTAACTCTCTTAAAATCACAGGGATTGAACATATAAAAAATTCAATTAGAGGAGGAGATAGGCTTAAAAAACTCTTGCAAAGAGAATCATTTTGGATTTATACACTAAAAGCTACTAATTTCCCAGGCCTTAATGGAGAATTAGATTTAGCTCCTTATTTATAATCTCATGTTTTCTTACAATTTGTGTACCATATTTATAACTTTTTCTCAAATTCTAGAAGTGAAATTTCATATTTGTAAGTATTCATCCTTACAATAGGATTGTTTGGATGTAAAAAGTTTTTGTGTTGTACTGGCCATCCAATCAGAATGCAGTCTACCTGCCCAGCTTCGGCAGGTGTCATTGATTGGCCTTTTTAACATGGGGGTGAGTGAGTATACAAACATTTTGAGCCCTGACGAAGGCCCTGTGGGCTGAAACACGTTGGCATTGATGTTTTTGACAATTTAAGCCACGTACTAATAAAGGCTTTTTATTTTTGTATCTCCTGAGTGCCTCAGATCTCCTTTTGCCAACAAATCAAAGCTTTATTTATAAAGCGCCTTCCGCAACCCTGTCAGGAAGCCCAAGGCGCTGAACACGGTACAGTACAAAGTCAAATAAAGTGAATAAATCAGAAAATAAAAGCAATTCAAATTACAGATTACAGATTACAAAAAAGGTGAAACATTCTAGTAGAAGACAAATGTGTAAAACAAGGGAGAGAGTGAACCAATGAAAACTGTGAGATAAAATCAACATAAATGACGGCCTAACTCAAATACATTCAGGGAACGCCAAGCGGGGGAGGTGTGTTTTTAGGCGGCTCTTGAAGACTGGCAGAGATGGGGACAGCCTAACTGAGGGGGGCGACTGGTTCCAGAGTGACGGTGCTAGGACTGAGAAAGCCCGGTCCCCGCATGCATACACATACACATACACGTACGTTATAAAATGAAGGCGTCGAAACAGGAAGTCTTCTGACTCACAATGTTGAGTGAATTTAAAAGACCTCTCGCTGACACGCTTGAGGTGTGAAATAACAGACCTGCACACACGTGCAGCTACGCCTCCCTTTGAAGTTCTGACAGCGTTCAGCTCCCTCTCCTCCACTGATATCATAATTATTTACCACAACCGCGTTCACATGCGCCTAATGAAAGCGAAAGTTTACTTTGGTCATATTCTATTGGACGCGGTTCACCAGCAACTCAATCACACAGATCAAACTGAGAGACAGCAGCCGAGCATGAATATCAGCAGGGAGCGTTGAAGAAAGAAAGCACCGAGGCATCCGTCGTCTATCTGTGTGATCTTCTAAGGAGAAATACTCGAGCTTTCTGGTGCGAATCTTAATGAAAGATGCTGTTGTTCAAGGTAGCTGCCAAACGATGTGTTAGTTGACTGATAATGGTTTAATAATGATAATTAATGACTAAAGCCAGAATGTCACTGGGCTGCTACGCTGCCAGCTAGAGGCACAGGGTTGTGAGATCAGCTGCTCATCACACTGAGCTGGTGTGTGTGTGTGTGTGTGTGTGTGTGTGTGTGTGTGTGTGTGTGTGTGTGTGTGTGTGTGTGTGTGTGGTGACCGGGTCACATGGGGCAAACCATGTCTCGGTGTTGACTGAAAGGTGTTCACCGTTCATCCTCATTTAGGCACAATTTGGTCACATCTCTCATCTATTACACCTTGTGACTCAAACACGGTCAAATATGAGTCCAGGAGAAGTAACTGTTTGACCCTGAAGGTAGATTTAGACCTCAAGATCTTTAACCAGTTTAAAAGATGTTCATTTGTGTTCCCAAGTAGTAAAATGTACAAATATGCATAAATTACCATAAATGTTAATGTCTGGTGTTACGTAAATATCGGTGTTTGAGGGTCAGAGTTAGGATACCAAAGGTCTGTGAAGCCGGAGTAGCCTTATTCAGAATAAAAGCTGGTGTGCTGGCTCAGCAATAACCGTGTGAGACGTTGGAGAACCGGGATGTTCTGACAGATTGTATCTAGAACGTAGTTCGTGTATGGTTTAAAAGAACTACAAGACTAATATCTGAAGGTACAGAACATTAACACACCCCAGATGAGGGTACAGTCGTCTGTGTACCCCTAAAGGTAGACCTGAACTGATCTGCGGTTCTAGAGATCTTCTACATCTGTGAATTAACTGCAGTGAATCTGAAAAGACAAGTTTCATGCAATTTTTGTGAACATGTCAAACCGTAACAACATTGTTAAGAATTTCTAGCAACATCCACATCTCCTGTGAGAGACTGGCTTAAATTTATCAGTTCAAACCAGACAAACTAGTAAACTGCTAAAGGAAATGTACTGTAATAAATAACAAAGTTACGGTTATTTTATATTAAAAGGCTAGGTTATCCAGAGTTCTCTCTGTAGTTATGCTGCTATAGGCTTAGACTGCTGGAGGATACACTGACCACTTTCCACACTCTACTGCTTTCTTCTACTATCTGCTCTTTAACTGTATTATTTCCTGCTATTTCAGCTGTTAACTTTATTTTCTCTCTAAGTGTTTTTCTCCCCAGAAGAAGCTACAACGATGTTCTGCTGAGCTGTGGTGGTCTCATGGAGGGGGCCATCGTCTAGCACACTGCTGCTAACCACTTAAACATTCTCTCTCTCCTGATAATAACTTTTTACTTTCCTTGACGTTGAATGTGCTACTACTAGTTTACCCGTTTAGTTATAGATTCACTAGGATAAATACAATAAAGTTTATCTTTCACCAAATAGAATATTTACAAAGAAATCACAATATAACCATAGAAACACTACTTGCCTTTGTGTGTGTGTGTGTGTGTGTGTGTGTGTGTGTGTGTGTGTGTGTGTGTGTGTGTGTGTGTGTGTGTGTGTGTGTGTGTGTGTGTGTGTGTGTGTGTGTGTGTGTGTGTGTGTGTGTGTGTGTGTGTGTGTGTGTGTGTGTGTGTGTGTGTGTGTGTGTGTGTGTGCTTTGTCTTCTCCATCCCCAGTGTGTCGTGGAGGATGGCTGCTTATACTGAGCCAGGATTCTCTGGAGGTTTCTTCCTGTTAAAAGGGAGTTTTCCTCTCCACTGTCGCTAAATGCTTGCTTAGTATGAGGATTGCTGTAAAGTCACTGACACTAGTCAGTGACTCGATGCAACTTGCTGGGTTCCTTATATAGGAAACTTTTGACTGATTGGCTTAATGACCTGACCTGAATTGGAAGGTTTGCTGTGCGAAGGTCCTTGAGACGACTCTTGTCGTGATTTGGCGCTTTATGAATAAACTTGAATTGAAATTGAATTACTTTGCAGGGTGAACATTTTTGAAGCCTAGACGGAGTATTTACAACTAAACCAGCTCCAACTGTTAAAAGTCAGTGTTAAAATCTGCAGGCAGGCAGGGTTGCTTTCTACTCTACAGGGAGTTGATTTCATTTACCCTTTGAATACATTTCAGTGTTTATTTTAACACTAAATTGAAAGATGTACTGAAGATGTAACAGGTTAAAGAGTGTGCTCTGATTTCTACTGGGCCCTAATGTTATCTGAAACAGAGTTAAATAGAGTTTAAACGACACTGAATTCGTTACTGTGGGGAATTGGAGGTGCACGCCCCCTAGTGGCTGGCAGCACTCAAGGTTCAAGTCCGTTAACAGGTTCGTTTTCCATCAATATGATGATATATCTTGAATAAACTTTTCCCAGTTTAATAAAAACATTTAAAATGCTTTGTTATATTTAGTTATCTGATGCCTTTTGTTAGACTTCACTTCCCAGTTGTACAGACTCCAAACACATGGCCTTGCCTGCAAATGAGATATTCCCCTTTGGTACAACAGAAGTAGTTGGAGACACTTTATTCAACATTCAGTATTTTTATGGTTTAAACACACGAATAACCCACCTCACATGATGTTAAGCATCCTTTCTAAACAGGAATGTGCATCGACGGGTGACAGAAGCTGTTTTCTCTTGTTTGTGTAATTTGGTGACACCGTCGAGCAAAAGAGACTCACCTATCATGTGAACTGTGGTCCGTCCAGGCCTGGTCCCCGGATGCTGCTGGATGGTGTGGTAGAAAGTGGCCTGACACAGCTGGATGGCAGTCACACTGACCCAGAGGCACAGGCAGAGCAGCCAGGACATGACAGGACACATCTGCTGAAGGACCAGCAGAGGTGGAATCAGCCCACAAAACCTCATGCCCTCATGACCCCAACATGACCCCAACATGCACCTCTCAGGTCATAATGGCACCATTCACATCATTAATTTACACTTATTTGATATTACAAGCACTGCTCTCTGTATGACTAGCCCTCATGCCTGCAGCAGAGTGTATTTACTCGCTGAGATTCATGATAACTATGCTTATATAACTATGAGTTCTTCACGTCTTCTTCTTGGTTTGCCTTGTGTTGTCCTCAAGCCACGGCACAGCAAATCTGTAGTGATGCCTTAGGGATTGTGTCCTCTGCAGCAAAGATTTCCCCTGACAGGCTGACTCCCTTCAACTCCCGAGCCACGCTTCCGCCTCAAAACTACAATCGAATTTAAAGAAAAATAAGATTTCACGAGCAGCTGGCTGCTGAGCCTTTTCTCGCTCCGTCACAATAACGTGACAGTGACAGGACGTCAGCCGGAATCAAAGGGGCTTGTAACGTTTCACCGTGCTCTTCAGTAAAAACTGTTTCAAGAGGATGCTTCTGGTCATCACGAGGAAAGGAAACTCTTGGTGAACCAGTTCCTGACCTGATTGTAAATGTTAGCATGCTTCTGTTTTTTGTTAAAGCAGAAGATGTCATTACATTTTTTTATTTTTTTTTTATTTAACCTTTATTTAACCAGGATAGAGACCCATTGAGGTTAAGAACCTCTTTTACAAGGGTGTCCTGGCCAAGAGGCAGCAAAAAATAAAAACTGTTACAACTAAGGACAATGATAAAAACACTCAATCATTAAAAGCAGTCACAAGTTACTAATGCAGTCTCTGAAGCTTTCAGTTTGCTTTTAAAGGCATGTAGTGAAACCTGCTCAGTCATTTTCCAGGTTTTCTGCAGCAGAAGGAGCAAATCAGTCGAGTAATGAGCGGTGGTTTGAATGAATGTGAAGTTTCTGCTTTATTCATGTGAAGTGGAAGAAAGAGAATCTAACAGGCAATTTTTAATGCACTTAACAAAAAAAAAAAGAAAGGGACAATTTCTGTAAAACTCCACAGAATTTACATTTTGCATTTATCTGTATTCATTTTGCAAATATGATTTGTAACAGTTACATTAGAACAATAGTTTTAAAACAAAGCGATGCCTTACCTGAACAACCCAACAAACTGTGTGCAAGGACCTCAACAGAAAGTCGTAAATCCATCCATATTTCTACTTGGATCCCGTCCAGTAACTCTGGACGTGGCTGGAGGAGGGAACCCCTCTGACTGCCTCCGACACTTTGATGGCAACAGCCCGCTGGTTCAGAAATAACCCACCAAGCCGGAGTCTGGAAATAAATTTAAAGCTCTTTCAGTTCCACCTTTTGAAATATCACGGCTTCACCTTGAGGAGCAGCCCCCCTCCTGCTGACACTGAATTCATTTGCCCCCCTCGCATCCACGGGCGCGTGCAGAGCGCTCCTTAATTAACTGTAGTGGAATGTCTCCTTTCAGCGTTCGCATTCTTCCAGTGAGCGGCAGCCTCCGAGCAGCGGCTCTGTCTGAGTCCCTCCTCAGCGAGCACTGAGACAAACGCTCCCGAGCAGCCGGGCTGAGTGTAAAAACTGTATCACATGTCTGAAAGCCAGACTGCCTCTGGGTTAAACGGCAAAGCGGGACTCTTATTTGATCTTGTGCTTCTGGCAGAGCCGTGTCCAGGACTTTTAAAATGGGGTGGCCCATGTGGGGCACTTGTTTATTCATGGGTAGCACCAATGGTTATGCTTATTTAGTTATGGACACAAATTGTTTATTTATTTATTTTCTAGTGAATTTTTGAGTTTCACATTGCACAATCACCATTTTTTTCCCCTCTTCATCTTCTACTTTTGTGGTGGTTAGCAAGTCACTTCTTGTTGCATTACTGCCACCAACTGGAGTTGTGCGGGACTCTAAATACTATGTATGTGAATAAGAAAAAAATATTAAATAATATTAATACATGCTTGGGCTAGAAAACAAGGTGAAAGGTGCAAGCAACCACATACTGTTTTGGAGTTTACAACCCAAGCCTTCTGTCGATAATGTAAAGTCAATTTAAACTGGAACTTAGTGGGGTGGCACCTGGGGTGGCCAATCAGATTCTAAGGGTGGCATGTGCTACCCCAGGCCACTCCCTGGACACGCCCCTGGCTTCTGGCAATTGCAAATCGGCAGAGCGTTCCTCACGCATGTGGATATGTGACCACACGATGAGCAGTTATTTACGTCTCCATCGGATTTCTTGCAGTTTTAAGATTGGACTATTTTCCTGCACTTCAGAAGTCATGAACGCACTTTCAGGGAAAATGGGCAGAGTTAAAAACTAGCTTGTTTTCACATAAAACAGAAAGAGAAAAGAGCTGAAACCCGAGGCGACGAAGTGAATCAAACTGGATAAAAACGTTTTTTATTCAATAGAAAGGAAAACTGAAAGCAGATTGTGTGAAAGAAACAAAGTCCATTCAGAGTGATCCTCACCTGCAGGGAGGGACCTCTTCGGTCTCTGAAGGAGACATAATGATGACTTTATGAAAGGCAGCAAGGCTGTTATTTGAAGTAAATAAGCACCGAGCTGAATAAAGTGAGGGAACGGTTCTTGCAGAACAAGCCCAAGGCCTGCAGCTCACACTGCAATCTCCACGGCTTAAAGACTTTTATGTGTTGATGCAAGCTCAGGAAGACAGGGTGCATTCCCGGTTCAGAGAGGAGGGGAGAAAACCCACAGCGAAGCAGCTCTACAACACCGCATTAACGCTGGAGACGCTGCAGAGACTGTAGAGGGGATTGGGACATACTGTACCAGAGTGACATTAAACTGCAGAGTTGTTTTGAGCTGAATACTTTCCAGAGATTGTGTAGTCATTAAATGTTGATAGATCCCGGTGTCCCGTGCAGGCTTTGTGCTTTGACGAGCTGGGACTGAAATGTATTCAAGCCATCTGCTTCACAGGGAGTTCGCTCAGAAAACTGTGGAACCTGGGAATAACGACGGGGACACATACTGTATCCTGAATGAAAACTCTTGGAACCAGGACTACTTCAAGTCTTCTGTTATAAAACACACAATTCCAGATGTCCAAGGCAAGCTGCAGGTTTAAAGATGGACACAGTGTTACCGGGGCAACCTAAGAAGAATGGCTCTGATCCAGCAGAAGACAGAGGATCATTTGAACAAATGTTACAGAAGGACATGAAGAACTAGTGCTATGTGGATCCAGGCACCCCGGGGTCACCAGGTGCCACATGCTTGGGACTGATCAAATGTCCCCCCATGTCCCCCCATGGCCTAAAGCAACCTGAAACAAGACACGAAGCTCCTGACATACGGTTTTATGAAACAAACACCCCCTAGTGGCTGGTTCCAGTATGAGTATTTAATCCACTCAGATGAAAACATTGTTTTCTGACTAAAAAAATAAAAAACACTCCTAACAGTTTGTCCAACTTCATGCTGTTGTTTGTTCATCTATTAATGTCTATTATTCATTTAGCTCTAACTAGCGTTTTGATGTTCAGACATCATGCTGGTGTTTGGGGAGCGGGTGAGCCAGAAGCACACACTCCGACTCTTAAAACGGCGCCCGGAAACGGGATGCTCTGGCTCCGCTAGCAGCCAGAGACTTTCATTCATCATTCAGACTGAAACCTGCAGACAGTGACATCACCCCACGGAGACCACTTCCAGAACCAGATGAGGCGCACAGGATGAGTCATAGGGTACTAAAAGCTTCTGGTCTGCAAACGTCATCCCAGCCAAAAACACATGACCTGCATCCGGTCCACACCTCTGTGTAGTCCCCAGGTGAGGAAGATGACGCTTTATGAAAGCAAACGGAAACTTTCATTCTGGTTCAAGGATGAACCCGGCACCATAAGCCTTCATGCTTTATGCCCGTCGCTCATCCAGGTTCGCTCATAAACGTTTTCTCTTCACCACCAGCCTGCCCGTCCACCACCTCCACTCGCCGTGACAGAAGCAGAGGAGCTGCAGCTGTTCTTCTTCACAACAGAAAACATGTTTAACTACAGCATGACTCTCAGGCAGCAGATTATTCACGCCTGCCACTCCTCAGAAACCACCACAAAGAGCGAAGATGATGATGATTGTTGTCGCTGAATTGGATCTGCATCGTATTCAGGCTGCTGGAAGGTTTTTCTTACACGTTTAGATTCGGACGCACAGAAGCGTCTCTTTTCCATCCAGAAGATGCAGGTGAGGATGGAGGAGGAGAAGCACAATGGCTCCATCCACAAGATCACACTGAAAAAATAATTTATGTTATAAGTATTTTATTCGTGTCCAGTCAAACCTCTGAGAACATTTATTTCCACGTCATGTGGTTACAATACTTCCCATGAAACTGACATTTTCATGTTGTAGCGCACACATGAAAAGCAAACATTATATAAATAATTAACGACTTGAATGTTTTTTCACATGTTGGCTTTGACAAGATAAAATAAGAAGCATCTGTATTTGGCTGCATTTTGACAGAATTTCTTTTAGAACGAGAGCGACTATATTTATGAGAGAATCACAGATTTCAGACTGAACTTTCACATGAAAGGCGGCAGAAACTCTGTAGACGTAAAACTGTAAATGTAGATGCAAAGCTCGTTACTCCTGTTGCTTATAATTAAAACAAAAAGGAATAAAACATTAACTGCAGTGTTGTTTTATTCAAAAAGTGAAACACAAACGTTGGAAAATCATAAAAGTATTTGATCAAAGTTTCTCAGATTTATGAGCTGGGTAAGGTCTTCATATTTTAAACGATGCCCCTAACTCAGACCATTGCTGGATAAAATATGACCCCTGCTGACCTCTGTCAGGGCCTCGCATCACAGATGAAAGAATTAAAACAGCTTTGACCTTGGAGCCATTCAGGGATCCAAGTCAGTCAAACCCTGAGCAAACAAAGCATCATCAAAGAAAATCATACGTGTGTGTGTGTGTGTGTGTGTGTGTGTGTGTGTGTGTGTGTGTGTGTGTCTCCACTCACATTGACTCTGTTTTGCCTTCTTGTTGCATCTAAATGTTTCAGAACAACACATTTCCTCCTCTACCAGGCAAAGATAATCGGAGTAAACAAATGACAATTCGTATTTACTGAGGGAACATTGTCCAGGACAATCTAGTCCTATGTGTTATAATTGATTTCCTTCCTTGTTCAGGCATGAATTAAATGTGATTAATCACATTACGTGGAAGGCTGAGTTCAATTCCAGCAGCCACAGACACACCTGTAGGGTTAAGAAATCACAGAACCTGTCTGGCATCAGGAAGAAGGCTAGGGGTTAGGGCTAGGGCTAGAGAGCTCAAAACCCTTCACAGTCTGTGAAAGACAAAGGAACACAGAACAAAGACCTGCAGGCCTCACTCATTTTATGTTAAGGTCAGGGGTCACAATCCAAAATAAAAAAAAATTGCACGATGAGGGAGTTTCAAAGTCTAAATCTTTGTTGAGCCAAAAGAACACAGTTAGCAAAAACATCTTCATGTTCCTTGAGACTTTGTGAAATTATTCTGTTGACTGAAGGTGTGTGTCACATTTCATCTGACATAAAACTATCTCTTCATTTCAGAAACACGCCGTCACAGCAACGGTCAGGCATGGTGGTGGTAGTGTGATGTTCTGGAGCTTCACAACCTGGACCACTCACTGTGACGGATGGAATCGTGATTTCTGCTCTCTAACAGAACACCCTAGAGGAGAACCTACAGTCATCAAACCTACCCACGGTGCAAAGACAAGTCGCAGCGACGTCTATTCCAGGTCATTTCTGCACATCCAGTTTCAGTCCCGTGTAAGTGCAGATGGTGACGCCAGATGACGTCTTTTTCATCATGTCTCCTGCATGTGCTGTGTTGGCGTCCTTAGGACGTTCAGATTAGAGCTAATTCTGGTGTAAATGAGGTAGTTGTAGACTTCCTTCTTACATGCCCCAGACACGTCACAGCAACGTCTTTTCCAAGTAACGTTTGCACGTCCAGATACGGTTAATCGTGGTGTAAAAAGATTGGGATGGACATGCTTCTCACGTCTACCAGACGTCACTGCGGCCTCTTTTCCAGGCCTTTTCCACGTCCACATGTGAGCTAAGTCTGGTCTAAATGAGGTCTCTTGGATGTCCTCACATCCCCCAGACAGGTCGCAACGTCTGTTCCGGGTCATTTATGCTAGTATAACATCTATAAATGCTAAGTAACATTAATGCTAATTTTAGACAGGTTTATGAACACCTGACTTATTGCAGAAAACATAGCTAACATGCTACAATAATAAACCCAGCCCAACTATTTTATTCAATGTTTTTATTTAACACACACACACACACACACACACACACACACACACACACACACACACACACACACACACACACACACACACACACACACCTGCACTGGACCTTGTTAGGCCTTCTGTAGCCGTGTTGTGGGTGATTTCATGGCTCCATCTGCAGAAGCACAAAAAGACAAGTTAGTAGAAACTACTTGTGGCTATTTTCCTAAGCCAACATTTAATCCAAAACACAGAAATAAAGACAGTTGATTACTATTGCGTCAACATTAATCAATCACAGGGGACATGCTAGCGTTAGCATAGCGATCAT